GAGATAACCAGGACCCAAGAACGACAAATAATAATGACTTAACGATAATATACAGGGTGGAGCATTTATTTTGAGACGTCTAAATAAAAAGAAAAAAAAATAAAGCAAAATGAAATATTTCAGATAAAATTGTAGGGTTTCAAAGGGGGCGTATCTTGGTGACATTGATTTGATCTTCGGGCGGAGTGTCAAGGTGAAAAGAAGGTTAATTTTATATTTTTTTAATAGAATCCTAAATTTTTACATACGTTTGCAGCCCTTTTCGTTTCCCTTTCTTCTAAATTTCAGTGTATTAATAGCAATAAGGTTGTTATCACTGATACTGATAGTAATATTTACCAGAAAAATGGCCCTCCTGACTTCTTTCACTTATGCAATTATAATTACGGATCCCAAAGATTTTTTTCCTCAATATTCATTCTTCCGTTCGTTCGTCGTGTTCTTCGTTCGCGCGAAATCGCTGCACTTGCTCGGCTCTCGCATATATCTTTGCACGGTGCAGCGGTCATAGAACTTTCTCGATCTTTTCGTTATTATTACCTTACGTACGCGCGCGCGCGCACACACACACACACGTTGACGTTTGCAATCTTGCCTTCCCTGCTTCGCTCGCTCCCCTCTCCCCTGTCCCCATCCCGTTCTCAATCGATCGTACCATGCCCCACGCGCACGGCGGCGGTCCTGAAATATTTACGACTTACGTTCCAAAGTATCGAGATCGCGTTTTATAGAGTAGTAACTGTTCACGATGTGGCGCGATAATTGCAAACGTATCGTAGGGCCCCTCTCTTAAATTGTAGCGATTACAGTCTGCGAAACTTTACCTCTGTCATGTCCCGGCCGCACAACTTTGCCTCGGCGGTAAACGTGCAACGCTCGCTACGAAAAATCGTTACGTTTTCTTTGTTAAGCCGTTCTTTAGATACGACAGTCGTAGAAACATACGCAATGCTTCAACTCCGGCGATTCATGCTTTCGCAGTCGAGAAGGGAAATAGAATCAAAAAGGCCCAAGTTTCGTATATTTCTCGAGTGCACGGAGAAGATATTGTAGTGAAAATGATCATAAAAGTTTGTAATGCTGGGTTATACGGGGAATTATTATTGAAATTATTATGTGTTTTAATTCTACTTTGCCGCGCTGTTTTCTAGATAGTTTTTTTTTTTAGGAATTTTCTTAAGGAAAAATGAGTGAATATATTTTTTTAATTACTTTTGCCCTTTATTTATTATTGTTTGAAGATTATTGTACGATTTTTTATAAATAAAATATCTGAATTTTTTTATATGTAAAATATATATGAATGATAATTAATTTTGAATAGATCGATTTGACTTCTGCATCGCGTGTGTGATTCAAGATATATTTCTTTTATTTGAAGAATTATTCTTCTCATCAGGAGAATTTCCCTTTTTTTTCTTTTCTTCCGACGGAGGTCTCCGTCGGAAGTACGGAAATTATCGCGAGACACCACGATGATGCATCGTTTAAACACTCACTCGAGCACTCCGCGAGTCGCCGAGCTATTGGGAAGGTATACACCGCGAAGCACTCGCTCTCTCGCGCGCTTTGATATTATTGTTTATCGGTAGCAATAATGACTGGCTGGATTGCTCTCAGCGGGCATATTGGATCGTGTTCGAGTGGCGGCAGCTGCGGCTGGATTTACATTCGGGAACACGCCGCCCAGAACACGAGGGTGAAATAAATTTCGCCGCGATTTCGCCCTCATGCGCCCTCGTCGTCAATTAAAAGGCTACGCATTGTTTCGCGTTGGTTTTTAATTAGAATCATCGTCAGGGTGTGAAGGTGATTAATAATACCACCGGTAATCGGTAAGGCGAGGTAGTGATGAGCGAGTGGGTGGGAGGGGGAAAGGGCGCTGGTAAAATCGTAATGCGTAACATTAATCCTGGACTACGTACGTTGCTGAATAAATTATGCGGGTGCGATATATTCAATCAATTAAGTTCATTATCGGACTCGCTTCCGATTTTTGCATCCGGCTTTCGGATTTCGTTGAGTGTCGACGAGACTTAAAACTCCCCGAGCTTGCCGATCCTCCTCTTCGCGATCCCTTCTCTGTCTGTTCAATTTCCGCGAGCAATGCCAGGCTCCGAAAGAGCGACAGATTGTTATGCATCGTGGAACGATAGGCAGGTCGATGTTCTGCCCCCCCCCCTCCCCCCTTTCCGGCGATTTCCAACGGAAAGGGCGGAATTCGATCCTATCATTGTGCGCGCGTATATTCGCATGACCGCGGTAAGAGTCGGCCGAATGAACGCAGGTCAGTTATGCGAGAACGATAAAATCGCGGCGCGCTGCCGCCACGTCGAATGCTACGAGTATCATTTATTTCCGTCATTACTACAATTAACATACGAATGTATAATGTATGAAAGTGATGTAGTCTCGGAAGTCATCATAGTCGTCGATTAAATATGCTTGGAAGGATTTTGTTTGCTCAGTCAAAATTTCGTTAATTGTTCCACTTTTTCTCGGTGCAAAGGCTCAGTTGGTGATCCTAGAATATTGAATGTATGAATATTATTAAATGAATATTATTATATGTGTAATTTTTAAAATATAAGACGTATTTTTGAATCTGCCTTTCTCTCGCACATTGGAATAATGATATTCGGTATCGTCACATCTCGACGATGCAAGAAAGAGGAGGAAATAACGAGGTTTGGTAGTTTTAGCGCTGTGCCCAAACGCGTGTTGCGTCACACGAATCCCGCAAACTTCCGATCTTCGAAATAGGTGGATGAGTTGCCGCGCGACCGTAATAACCAGCTCTTCCGTACTTTCGCAACTTTCGATGAAAGAGAGACGGGACTCGCATACTGCATGCGTGCTCGTGCAACCGTGCCGAGCATTTGCGTGGTGAGTATAGGTCAGTTATGCAAGGGTGAAGCGCTATGGCCATTGAGCGTCCACCCTCTCTCGCGTTTGTCGTCTCTTGACCGGAACGCCGAAATCGCTTCGTTATCCTTGGTCTCCCTGTCAATTGCACGGAGAAAAAGAGGTGTTCCTGTTTTGAGAAAATCTGCATTCTCAACATGTACATGTTGAAATAAAATTATGCAGCGTTGGATAGATAAAACTTGCTTTTAAGTGGAATATTATATTGTTTTTGTTGGAAAGTATGTTTAATTTGGCGTTTAAATGTAATAATTGACGTAAACCTAACAGATAATGAGATATTCAAGGAGACAAAGAGTAACGAATGTAATAAGATGAGTATAAGGCAGCGGTTAATCAATAATAACTAATCTGACTTTAATTAATAAGAGTACAATTGTCATTTCGTTGAATTATCGTCTAACTAACGCTGTTGGTTTCGCTCGACGTTGCGTAAACGTTGCACGCTATCGTAACGTGGAAAGGTCAGTGTCTCTTTCTCTCGGCGTGACGCGATCGCTCGTTCGTTGGCTTGTTCACACGCGACATGACGCGACGCGACGTCTGAAACATCCGCGCGGCCGGAAAGTGAGTCGAGCGAGCAAGATGATCGTTCCTTCGGCCGGCCTTATTCTGAACGCGAGCACGCGAATAACGACCTCCCCCCCTCCCTCTCTCTTTTTTTCTTTTTCTTTTCAGCCACTTTATGGCTCCGATATAATTTGCGAGCGTTGATACGCAACGAAACGCGTTGTTTTTGCGCGAAATGAAACCACCGGTTTGTGAATGCAACGACCGCGTGCTTGTGTAGTCTTGAATGCGATTTTTTTTTTTTGCCAGGTACCATAGTGACTGATAAAGCGGCTCGTAACGGTGCGCGTGCGTGTGTATATTTTAATACATCTCGTGTGTTCTTCTTATCCGCTTGTTTTCATTCACACTTGAGTCGACCGGCGGCCAACAGGCTGACCCGTCGACCCGATCCTCGTGTCATGTATTTACGTCGAATCATACGTCGTATGAATGCGTGTTCGATGTAGGGCGCGTAGGTCGAGCGGAACGACCGTTTGATGATTGCGAGAGTTTTACCTTCTATCGACAATCGTAGTCGTAGTTTCTTAATCCCAGCGATATCGATCCTCCAGCAGAGAAAAGTGGCACGACGAAATATTAATTATTCGTGATGACGTAACAAAATATATATTCGACATCGGTAGTTGTATATCGAGGATACAAAGCGATTTGACGACAGTTTTTTAGGATTCATTCTGAAATCGCGTCCGATGAAATCGACTTTCCCAATTTCCCGAAATGTCGTTTTTCGCTCGCGTTTATCGCGCGTGTGATTCGTTTGCAAATTATCGAAACGAGCCATGGGCTCGGCCGGTTAATCGACTGATCGATCGCTCGACACTGGAGGCTGTGAAACCCGAAACGACGACGGGACCAGGCCAATTGGCAATGTCTGGGCCTGTAATTAGGTTTGCGTTGGTGGTAACATCATTACTCAGTAAGCTCGCAATTTCCTCGTGACCGTCGTTCGCCGTGATCGTCGTCGTCATCGTCTCCAACCGGTTCCCTTCGTCGTGGTGCTTCGAGCGGGAAGCTCACTTTTCTAGTAGACCGAACGAGCAACTCTCGTCGTTCCGCTTGTGACCGAAGGAAAAGAAAAAAGTGTGAGTGGAGTATTGCTGGAGGAGAGACTGGACGGGAAGAGCCGTCCTTATTCAGATAAATTGCGCCACTGTTTTATAATGGGGCATTATAGGCAACGTACACATCAGAATTTCTGTCGTCATTAATGGTCGCGTTTAAAAAGCGCGCAATCGACGGGGAGGAATTCTTCGTATCTTACAATGTAACGCGCTCCGCGTCTGGGGTGTATTTTTGTTGTATTATGAAATCACGCGTAACGATCGCATAAACTATGTGCGTGATCGAGAGCGACGTTCGATTTAATGACATGGTGGAAATCCGATACAAGTACAATACGCACGTAGAATAATACAATAAAACGGGCGAAATGAGATTGACGTTGTGTGAAAAAGCTCGTCGAATTCCCACGATCTCTCTAAAACGGCTTTTGTGTTGCGCAGTGGCGTCGCCGTCTCATGCGGGGAATGCAGCAGCAGCGGCACCAGCGACATCACGGAACCGGGTTCCCCGTGCAGCACCAGCAGCGACGAGGGGGTAGCGATACGCGGCACATCCGCCAGTCCACTGCCGTCCCTGCCCAAGCTGGCGGCGTCGTCGCAGGCCGGCACCAGGCCCCAGTGGCCTTGGGCCCCGCCGTTGGCGGCGACCGCCTGCTCCACGTACAAAAGGTCGAGGGGCGAGCCGGAGGCTGGCGCGCTCGCCCGCTCCGGCGCCGCCGACCCCACGTCCAGGGGGGCCGCCAAGGGGAACGGGAAGACCGCCGGTGGTCAGCATCATCACGAGTCGCAGGGCAAGATCACGGAGTATTTTAAGACGCAGATCAAGCCGCAACAGCCGAAGGTCGGTACTCGGGATTCTAAGAGTCGCCGCTTTTTTCAATCGTCCGAACCAACTCGCCGATACGTTTTCAGTGAAATGCACGTTTCGGTGAACTTTCTTTTTCTTTTGATCAAAACAATAAAAGTGTGGAGAAAATGCTGTTTATTACGGTCTAAGCGAATGAACAAACACCTGCGACTGTCATCAAAGAAATTCACTCTAATTACGTAACTAATGCCATCTAACGTCGAGCGGTATATTCATATAGATCATTCAAGCAGCATCTATCTGTACTAGGTGAAAAAACGTATGCAGAATTTTTTCAGTCAAAATATTATAATTCCTTCGATACAGAGATCAAATAACGGATACCTTTGTAAAGTCGAGTCTTGTTTGTTAAATCACTCATTCGGTGACGTTTAATCGGCAGTTTTCGCGGAGCGAGCAAAGTAGAGAAATATCGCCGGTGAAAGAAAGAAAGAAAAGCGCGCTTCCTCAGATTAAAAACCGTAGCGACCGTGTAGCGGAAGTGCTGAAAGACCCGCTTAACTTCGCACTACGGACACTTCAGATACCGATCCCCATCTTATCGGCGAGCGCGCATTTATCGGATATTGAATTAGCCTTTTTTCCTTATTTCCCTTTTACGACCGCTTGTAGAGCGGTTTTGCTGTAGATTATTTCGCGGAATTAATCAAAACCGTCTTATCGATCGACAATTTAATATGGCACGTTCGCGCGCTTCACACACTCGTGCACTCCCAACGCTCAACGTTTATTTATACGTCATTATTTATACGGTAAACGTAATAGGCAGGTCGAACTGTCTCTCATCGTCCTTTCGTCGTTTTTTTTTTTACCAAGGAAGATTTCGCCAGAGGGCTAAAGTGCAACTTTCTAACGCTAATTCGGTACACATCAAGTCGGCACGCGTCTTCACTTAGCAAGGACGAATAATATTCCAAGATATCGCAGTGACAATCATATGTCTCTCCGTTGACAGATCAAGAAAACGAGCGAGACGATGTCGGTGCTGGTGGCCAAGAGTTCGCCGGAATTCCGAAGACCACCGATGGTGCAGAGGAACAAGGGCGGTCTCGCGAAATACTTGGGCACCGTGTCGCTCAATACTCGCGGGAGCCCGAGCAACGATTGGGAAGCGCGAACGCTAACAACGACACCGTCAGCCGCGAAGAAACCGCCGCTGGTCATAGTGCCAAGGATCACCGGCAAGCTGGATCACAAGAAGCTGCCGAAGCCGCTGCCAAGTTTGCCAATCTCGAACGACGTGCTGAAAAATCTGCCGAGCTGCAAGATCTCATCACTTAGGTATCAACTATCCGGGATGTAATGCATAGTCCCGTAGCTCTGTGTTGGGCCAGTTCATTTTTCACTATTAAGTACATTGAGAAAAGTCACTCTTTTCTTTCATCTTCGAACTTTCGAGGAAGAAATATTTCGTCTTTGCCGTTCAAGAGCTACGGGAACTTTGGGAACTCGAATGAAATTGTAAGATGGTGAGTCAATGGGGAAACGAAAAAAGTGACGATAGAAAAATGCAGCAACAAGGAGCGAAAAAGAAAGAGGAGAATGAATATCAGACGGCGGGAAGAGAGCGAGCGATTTGGAGAGTAAAAAATCTTCAAGAACGAGATTCCCGCCATTCATGTATACTCACTCACGAACTAGTTTTATTATATTTAAATTATACGTTATCACTCACTAGATTCTGGATTTAATTTTTCCATTATGCGTGACTTGTTCGCGCATACACGTCGCAACCAATGCTGATTAGTCATTGGAATCTCATTTCATATACTACTAAAATATATAATCATTTTAAAACTCAAAGGAATGTGCAGAACAATCAGTCGTCTTAAGGTTTCCGGATACTCGCTTCGGCTGTCCTTTGATAACGAGGCTTCTGATTTATGTGACGGTATATACGTGGAAACGAGAGGTATTCCCCTCGCTTCTGACGTCATTAAAGAAGGACAGCCAAAGATTATCCAATTCTTTCGTTATCGATGCGTATGTAATGCACCGCTCAACTAATTTGATATGGTGCAATCTCCCTTCCTAGATAAAAGTGGAACACGGTAAGTAAAGGTCATTTCTCATTAAGCATTTGCTCTGTTTCGAATTCCCGGGTAGGTTACCTTCAGACGCGAGTCTCAGCACGGCCAAATGCAGCTCCCCGCCTTCCACCGCCGCGTCGTCGCTGCTGGGAGAACCGGTGCCGTTGGACTTCAAGGGTTGCATCCTGTCGAAGCCGCACGTGAACGAGAACAACAATTTGACGAACGGGGGCATCCTGAGCGCGCTGAGGTCTCAGGGCGGCCACGATCCCATGTCGCGGCTCTTGCCGCCGGAGAACGGCAAGAACGAGGAAGCCCAGGCGATCGCACCGGTCGACGAAGACGACGTGGACGAGGAGGAGGAGGATTCGAGGGGCAGTTCGTCGAAGCCGTCGCCCATCCTCTCGGCGCCCATCACTATCCGATTCCCGGCGCGAGAGCCCGAGAAGGATAGATCGCGAGCTGCGGACAGCGGGAACTGCCGCTGGGACAAGTGTGAAGTCAGCTTTGAATCTGTCGGCGGTCTTTTGGAACATTTACAGGTACGAAGGAGAATGTAATAATTATGATATATGATTTACCATTATCATTCTTTTGCAGTCTGCGCACATTAACACGCAAACCGGCGTTGATAATTTCGTCTGTCAGTGGCAAGGGTGCAAAGTACAAGGAAGGACCTCGTGTTCTCGCCGATGGCTAGAGAGACACGTTCTGTCTCACGGCGGCAATAAACCTTTTCGATGTATCGTCGACGGCTGCGGCTGCAGATTCAGCTCCCAGGTGACCATTGAGTTCCTAGGTTACTTGAGAATTTCCGGACGCATTAATGCGACTCTTTCCTTTGCAGACCGCCCTCGAGAGGCACGTGAACGGTCACTTTAATCAGCCGGAAACGAACAGCAACAACGGGAGGCGTAGCTGTGAGAACGGCGGCAAACTCGTTAGGAGGAATGGCAAAAAGCTTAGATACAGACGACAACCTTGGTCCGGTGAGTTTCGTTACAACACTCGCGATCGTTGGGAATGTTAAGTGGAACGCACCTGTTGTGTTCTTTCAGCGAGGGTTTTCGATTATTTCGACTCGGGAGTGATGGAGCGTCTGCAACATAGGCTATTGGCACTAGAGTCGTCGAGGACACTGGGGGGACTAGCTGACACGCCAGCAAACTCGATGGCACTAACTAGTCAAGTAAGTTGCATGCGAAAGAGACACATTGTCGAGAATATTCGATAAGAACGGTTTTCACCTCCTTTCAGATTTTAATGAGGAGAGTCGAGATGGACGGCAAGACGAAGGTACTTCTACGATGGTTTCCCCAGAATATGTAAGTGTAATAAAAACTTCAATCACTCCTGTTGCTGCTGTTGTCGACTCACGTGTGTTTCTTCCGCAGAGTACCGGACGAATGGGTACTTGAATCCGAAGTACAAAGCACAAAGCACGTAGGTATTCGCAAAGTGGCCGCCAGTAATCCGGAGGAGGTGGGTTTGGCTCTCTATCCGGCGATAAGCGGCCACGCGCCGCCGACGACGCGAGTGAAGCAGCGCCGGAAACCAGTGAAAAATTCGTGATAATGCCGTGATCGGCCCGGATCCAGGACTGACCTAACGAGGCGCGGCTGACACCTGAACCAGAGAAGAACAAAATACTACTACCGATGGTATAGTACGGTCTATACGCTTCCTGGTCGGTGAAGACGAAGGCCGCTGCAAAGGCCGTGCGACCTGAAACCCGAGTGTGTATCGTGAGGAAGGGAGGGAGGAGCAGGACCGTTTGTAAGATAACTCACCTAATTTAGGAAGACGACCAATCTACACGGATTCAGATCGACTAGCCGGCTAAGATAAGAATCACAGTCGGTCGAGAGACCGCGAAAGAGATAGAGAGAGGACGAACTGGAGAGCAGCACAGTAGTGATATAAGAATAGAGGGACGCACACAGCTGGAAATACTTCGGAAGAGGGGGCTAGAGAGGATAGGGGAGGAGAGAAGGGGGAGCGTTAGGATCATCCCATAGTTAAATCCGTCTCCCGTTTGGAGTCGAGCGAGAGAGAGAGCAACCATTGCCGAGCGCAACGCAGGCGTTTACTTTTTGTCCACTCGTCGATAGGTACGCACCAACTGAGCTGATTGCGTGCGGATTTTTGCGCACGAATACCTCGCATTATATTCGAAGTTCGTCGGCCTCGGAAGCGCTAAATCTGGGCCTCAAAAGTGCCTCACCGTGGATACGTTTTGTATCGTCTTCTTCCCGCCGATCCAGGGAAGAGACAGGACGCGTGGTGGGAACGGTAATGGATAGTTGAGGATTAAGAGGGAAAAAAGGAAGAAATGCGAAAAAAAAGGAGGGAAGAAAAAAGAAGAAGAGAGTAAAAAGAAGCTTTTGCGGTATGTCTATTGCGTTTGGTTTTTTGCCGAAGGAAAACCGACGGAATGCACAGACAAAATGTTTAAGCGGTAGTTAACAATTATAAGGAGATAATCACTCTGGTGGCCTTAGGACTCAATTAATATCTAACATCGGCCCTTGGCACTTCCGGGAAATCGATGGAGTTCTGAGGGACCCAATCGGGAGGCGAACGAGATCTCCGACGATGCTTCGAGAAAGAGAAAAGGAGGAGAGGATGCGTCTATCTCGATTTACACCTTGGTAAGGAACTCGCGTCGAGAACGTGAAGAGAGAAAGAAAGAGCCAAGAGGAAAAGGACAGAAGGAAGAGAATTGGACAGCGTGAAGCGAAAAAACAAGAGGAAATCAAGATGTGAAGAGGGGGGAATGAGTCGGATGAGAATGCAAGAGTACAAGAGAGAACAAGAAGAATGAATGCGAGAGCGAGTGAGAGTAAGAAACCATAGAAATTGTTCCGAAACAGCCGTTATTTCTCTGAATGAGGGTTGACAGTCTCCCAGGTCGAGAACTCGGCGTGATGTTGAAAGATTGCGGAATAATCGAACGACACGTACGCCACCGAGATTTCTATTGAGCATTATTTATGCCTCTCCTTGTCCTAGGACGGGGAGGTGACTGGTACAAAATGAAATTAAGGGAACAGCAATAACTTCTCAGGGCACGAGGCATGTCCGAGCGCAGAAAAGAAGAAAAAGAGAGACGCGCGTCGGGAGAGCTTGCATCGCTCCTGCGTCTGAGGGCCACTTGCACCAATTAATTGCTCCGATTAATCTTCCATTAACTAGCAGTATCTGCCAACAGCAGAGCTTTATCGTGGATACAAACCACTGTCAAACTCATAATCATCAAGTATCAAATTAATAATTCCACCCATGTCGAGCACTGTTTAATTCATCACAGTAATGACGAACTGTGCGAATTGATCGGAGAGCTTGGCCCTGCAAGCGGTCCTGAGACACGTTCGATTTCTTGTGCATTGCTTGTGCGTCGCTTATTTTTATATCTTTCTGCTGAGTTTCGCGCAACGTGTTAGCGATTGCACTCGGCTCTGGAAAATCAGATCTCACACTGACGTTCTTCGTTTTCTTCTAAGAGAGAAAAAAAGATGAGTCGAATAGGAACCAAGCGAGAACGGTAGCTAACACGCTGCACGACCGATGCGAGCTGCTACCCTCAAAAGGGGAAAATCACGATGGTTGAGTTACATTTTTCTCACAGAGTTTTTAGAGGGACACACTGAGAGAAGGAGAGCGATGAAACACAACGTTCGGCGCGCGTCGCTACTTCCGTGACACTCGCAAGTATCACCGTATCGCGGCTTGCGAGCAAAAAATGAAGCGAAAATAAAAACTTTTACGATTATCTGTTGCGGCGACGCGCGCGCGCGTGTGTACATATATGTCGTGTATACATACATGTAAACAGATACGGATCTTGGTGTAAATTGAGAAGAGGAGAAAGTTATGTGTATCGTGTCGGATGTGTGTGATTGACGAGAGAGAGAGAGAGAGAGAGGGAGAGAGAGATGTTGCGCTACACGAAGAAACAGATGGGGCGAACAGAACCGAGACGTCATGCATATACACACACACACACAAACACACACACCAGCTAAGAAACACTGCCAATACGATTGTAATTAAGAGCTCCACGACAATTAATCAATTAATTATTCTTATTATTATTATAAAGATACGATTAAGTGTATAATCGAATAGATCTCTAGCTGACGCGAGAAAGGGATGCGTTAGAAAGAACGGCAGCACTGAGAACAGACGTCGTCGTCGTCGTAGTTCTCACGGTCATGATCGTTTTACCTACGCCCCAAGCGGAATACGCGTTTTAACACACGATGACAATTCTACTTTTATCAAATGATGATGCGCGAGGATGTCCCGCGTACGTGCGGCGGCATCATACACGCGGCGCTGCGCGTCGCGCGTGGCCGCGAGTACGAATGTAAATACTTAGTTGAAATTATCATAACGAAACGGTACACACACACACACACACACACACACACAGAGTCATGGACAATGAAAAGGACTGTGATCGTTTCACAGACTGTGAATTTCGGTATCACGCGTCACATTTCGATTCATTCATTATGCGGCTTGCGATACATTTCATTCTTATTTGACACCCGGTACATGTCATTTTTGCTTCTCCTCGTGCTGTGATGCGTTCTGAAAACTGGAAACCGACCGGACACGGCCTTGTTGTCCACGACTGTGGACATAATACTGTACTCGTAGCCACGAGCTTGCTTTCACCATCGCTGAGGTAAGCTTCTCTCGCGAGTACCCGAAAGCTATCTAAAAGCGTATCTCTCTGTACCGGTTGATTTTCCAGCACGGCGTTCCCGCAAGGACGACATACACGTGTAAACACACACATACACGGACATATACTCGAATACACACATATACATGGCGGCAAAGGTGATAGAGATCCTTGCTTCTGCATGGACGGATCGAGACCGACGACGGAAACGCGTCACTGCCAAAATCACGCTCTGCCAGCTCCGTCTTGTTTTAACGGTGCGCCTTTAGCATATATACATGTATATCTCTCTTTGCACGAACGTGTGGTCCACATGTCGTGCTTCTAACGAACTTCGTCGGTCTTTTCCCTTTGTCGCGCGCGCGCGCCACGCACACGCACACACACACACACACACATTAAGTAACGTATGTACGAAAGCACGGCCTAGCCGCAGCTACCGTTTCGTTCTTCGAATTTATATTTTCTCTGGGTGTATATCGTCGTTCTTTTAGAAAAAAAAGAAAACAAATTGACTGAATAACTAAATCAGCGAGCGACAAGACAAACTTAATCTTAGAGAACTTGATGATTATGAGCGGAAAATTGATTTCTCGAGTGTATATCAGTCAGCTGACATCTCGCTCTATTTTGTACGATGTCCGTGGTTAATTTTTATAGGTTTAAAAAAAGGAAATCCACGGACTTGCGTCTCTCCTTATTTGCGTGTCTCTAAGTAGATAATTTATTTTTAATTTTAAGAGAATCGATGTCGCACACTACCACCGAGTGTGCGAGCGTGTTTCTCAAGACCGACGATATCCTCCGAGCGCTCATGTGCACTGCCAAACTTCATCGAGCACGCAAAATCGAGGTACTGCCAACGAGACATACAGAACGAGACGCGCGCGCGATATTGTAGGAAGATTATTAGATATACGAGGACTCCTCGTTTTGCATTGGATTTTTATTTCTCGCCGTCAAGAATTCACTTAGCGCGCTAATCAAATCGAGAGGCAGCAGTGCCATGCGAGGAGTCTCTCGTGAGGAATCATCGCGTGTTCCTTGTGATCGGCACGTCCCGCTTTCGGGTCAACGACGCGACGAGATATAAAGGTGAAATTTGGAAAATGAAGAATAAGACACCATATGATATTAATCACACATGCGCACACATTGGGATATTGATTTAACATCATTATATATGTGTGTGTAATATATATGTAGTATAATTTTTTGCATACGAATATCGTGAAAGTCGAGAGAATTTGTCTTAGTTTGAAAAATATCCGTTCGAAAGATTGCAACTGACGTCTCTTTCTATATTTTTGCATCGTTCCGCAGTCGATTTTATTCTATGGTTTATATGTGAGAAACAAATGGACTTCTAAACTACGTTCTTGCTCCACGTATCTTACATTTATATCTCGTCGTGTCTCGACTTTTCATGTTCATCGCTTACTTTTTTATTCTTTCGTGGCGCGATCGTTTTCCGATCGCTATTTTTATCATTTCACCTTTTCGACCACTTATTGCGAGATCTCTGCTCGTGCGAGTAATACATGATATTATTTCGTTATCGGCTCGTTCTCATCGAAATCGAAATTGCGTCGATCAGATAAGGGACCAATCCTTTTTACATAAGTGAAAATTCGTCCGCTCCATTTGGCCCGTCGTTCTGCTTACGAGGTGGAAATTATTATTTTACAAAAGAAGACGTGTTTATTTGATACGGGCGATTAGATCGATTTGATTTAAAAGCCTCCTGAGTTGATATAAAAAGAATGCACTACGCATTAAGCAGAGATTCCATTAGACATTTAACGGTATATTTTTGCGTTTTTTTGTTATTATTATTAATATTATTATTATTATTATTATATTTCTTGCAAAGGTGGAACGATAGAAGGAGCCGTCGGCCGTTCGATCGCGCTTGATCTCTTTGGAATGGAAGAACCGCAATAAATAGTAAGAGGGAGAGAGATCAAAAGCACTCGGAAGGTCCTTCCAATTAATTGTACGATCCATTTCTCACGACGTAAAATTAAAAAGGCTCGAGCGAATCAGCAATATGAAAAATCATGCGGAAGGTACAAAGTGTAATTTAATTAAGTTTCGTTGTTAATTCTCGGACGAACGCGTCGACGACCGACATTTTTAAAGCAATCTTGCGCAATAAATTAATTTGAGTTTACCGCGACATTTTTTTTTTACGTATATGTGCGCGTTTAGATTCGTCCATCACGATTATGTTATGCGGCGAGTCCAATTCCGACATCAAGTATTTCCTATACTTTAGAGTATACCAATTCGTATTCTCTCTGTGTTGTAATTAAGTCGCGAGTTAAGATTTTATATCGTCAGTTGAAATCGAACTGCATTTAGTTACGAGATAACCTTTTGTCTTTCTTTTCTCAATCCTTGATACAAGTTGGCACTCGTTGTGTCGCGTCTTCTTCGTTTCTTTTTTCCTTTTCATGCGTTCCCAAATCGGCAGCGATGAACAATTTTTCCTCTCTATAAGTGCGATGGATATTAAAAGAAGGATCATAGACTTCGCCATGTGTAGCTATAGTGTCTCGTATAAACTTTTACATTGTTTGTATATCGGCCTGCTAACAATACTGCTAAATTATCGATAAATTAATAGTAACTTTTTTAATGTAAATGCGAAAGAGAAAAAGAGTGAGAGGGAGGGAAATGGAGGAGGGGGGGGGGGAGGATTGAAAGAACCTGAGAGAGATGGAGGAGTGACGAGCATGTATGTAAGATCAACGCGATTTGTATACGGTTTTTTTAGTGCACGAAGTTCGACCTGAAACGGAAATCAACTGTTTTTTTTCCGTTTCCCTTCTTAGTGTTCTTTTTTTTATATACATATTCGTACGTTTTTTTTTTGTAGAGTTAAACTTTAGTCCACACGATGCCGCGCACTGAATAATGTACGTTTAAGAAAAAGAGATGCTGTAAAAGTGTTCTGTAATCTAATTAGGTCTATATTAGTATCAGAGGAGGAGGAAAGAAATGAGAAGAAAGAGGGAAAGTATTGCGAAGAGACACGCGGATGCTCATTCTTTCTTTCCTGTCGCATTTTTTTTCCTTTTTTTAGAATTTTGCTCAGACACATACACACACACACACACACGCATAAAATACACACGTATATATTCGCCATGGATTTATTTCTTTTGACGGTGCATGCGTGAATGTGTGCGCAAGGGAGTGAGAGAGAGAGAGAGAGAGAAAGACAGTGACCGTAAACTAGACGTAGAACAAAGAAACGATGGGCGCGAAATGTATAAAAAGATGAGTAAATATGACAGGGGAGGGAGAGGTATGTGGAAATACGCAAAAGAAGAAACAATGGGGAAAAGGAGACGGAAATTCTATAGGCACCGTATTTTTGCAAGAAAAATTAAGGAAAAGCGTAGACGGAAAAGGAATACGGATACGAGAGAAATTTCAATTGTGAAGTTCTCTCAATCACCGTGTTAAACCCCTGACGATCGCTGTACTTTATCGAGTAATTGTGTAAACGCAACACGAGCGAAGTATTCTTTTCAGACAAGTTTCTACACTCTTCTCCGATAAATCCACGTACAGATTTGAGAAACGCGTGTGGTAATATAATCGTGTGAATATCTCATTGGAAAATTGGCAAGAAAGAAAATCAATGAAAATACGATGACGACTTGAGTGTAACGTAATTTAGAAATTTAGAATGTAGTCGTCGATTACTATTCTTATAATAAGTCTAAATTCCACCTATCGGAAAATATACTTTTTCTACGGCAAAACATAATAAAACGCGGTAAAAAATATACCGTGGACAATTTGAAAAGTTTCGCGGCTTACGCGGCGGAGGTTATATTGAAAAATGAAAATGATTTCACAGAGAAAAAGTAAATTTCTCATTGTCAGGCCGCGAACCCTTCAAATTGTCCATGGTACATCGATCATGCAATCGTCTTATTGGAATATTAATTGATGTTCACGTAAGGGCGGGTAAAGTGGCGATTAAACGTGGAATTTCGGAGCAATTTCACACAGAAGTGTACCTCTACAAACAAATACACACACACACACACACACATACACAAGTAGACCAGAGGATCTCATACAGCGTTGACGAAGGAAAGAACGAGTGAGAATTAGAGGCATCGCAAACGCGAAGGGCTCGGCTTTCCAGTTTTCGTTCGAGTCTCGAAGAGCGTACGAAGGGACGAAACGTCGAGAAAGACGGGAAGAGGTTCACACTTGTAAATGTATAAAGGAAAAGTGACAGCCGATTCGAGAGAACGAGATCGCGTTTTAGATATTACGTTAGAGACGGACGGGGCGGGGAAGGGAGAGGGGGAAGAACGGTAGATCGAAGGAACTACGTGACTTTTCCGATTGTCGATCTTGTTTCTTGCACCGCGGCTCGGAGCTGTAAATATAATTGAGTGTGTGTAAACGCGACATACAAAGACTCCTCTCCCGAGAGTATGTGCATATAGATATAGCTTATTACAGATATAGTGTTTGCATTTATTATAAATTCTATGTAAAAGTCGTCGACGAGACGAAGTCGAGCGACGATCGCGACGAGGGCCGCTTTGAATGTAATTATTATGTTGATAGGATCGCCAAATCCGTGTGAATCAGTATTATATAGGTACGTTTTCCTTTTTAGTCGTTGATGATTCCTCCCAGGAAGCTTTATATAAAAAATCTCTGCATTATTATTACTACCAGCACAACCACCACCATTATTACCACTATTATTACTATTATTACCACTACCGCTACTACTGCTATCACTACTACTACTACTGCTACTACTATCACTAAACACGTCTATTTTATTCGATCGACTGTATATCGCGACGAGAAAAGGGTAGGTTTTACGATTTATTATTTTAACGGTACCGAATGAATTTCTCGACAAAAGCAGACGATGACACGATAACACTTCGACCGCGACCCCGCGAGATCGCCTCGGTTAGAAAAAAGTGCTTGTACTTGTATAAAAGTAGAAAAAATATATTGCATAGTTTAAAATAATATGGTTTATAGTGTGTAGAGAGAGAGAGAGAGAGAGAGTGAGAGAGAATTTGAAGAGGTACGCGCTGGAGAGACAATAGTGAAAACTGGTGAGCCCCGCTTGATGATTGATTTCATTCACGATTTATCTTACATCGCATCCCTGTGGGATTCAATTGAAAAAGAGAGAAAAGAAAAGGGAGATCACTTTTTTCCAGTGTAAGCACTCTGTATGCGTCTCGCTGTTGACGAAGCGACGAGAATCGGCGCGCGATCCCGTAGGGGGGAGGGGGGGGGATGTATATTTCCCCCTCCATAGGCCAGATCTCTTTTTCACGAGAACAATTTTTAAACGCAGGAAAACGACGACAGCTTCTTGTCGCTTTGTCGAGAGATCGCTGTATCCCCGATATCCGACACACTCCGACGAGAGACTCGATTTATCGCGTAGCAGAGAAGAGACGAAAGACGACGCGCGGTTGTAGAGAGCAGCATGGTTGTTTCGCACTGCCAAATAAATAAGTAAGAAAGGAAGGAGGAAGAACAACCTGCGTTCATTGTGTGGATCTCGACCGATCGTTGGAAGCACCGCCGGTGTTCATTAATCCACACATAGTGGTTCTACGAGAAAAAAATGAAAAAAAAAAACAATGTAAAACAGAGTAATAGAGCTAAGAAGCGCACATTGAGAAAAGCTTCGGCCCCGTACGAGTGAATGAGAAGTGAGAGAGAGAGAGAGAGAGAGAAATATCCGAGCGTCGAATAGTGCTTTGTCTTTTTGGATACTTTCATGTACAAACACGAATGACGGTTTATAGCTCAAGAACAGAACATTAAAGAGATAGATATTGTAAGAAAATAATATTAATTTCACGGTTACGATATCGTACCTGGTTGTTCTTTTATTTTTCACGCCCTACTAAATCACTACGATAGGATCCTGAATATGAAATATTGGTAGATAGCATAAAATTCATAATAAATCGGCACATGCTGATCTTATCACGCTATTGTTTTCCGTCAGAGAAGTTGACCGATAATCTTGAAATTATTTCCCGACGAAATATCAACGGCATGAAAATATACGAACGTAACTGATGTACATTTTCGGCGAAGAGGATTTAAGTTTTGAAGCAAAGAAGGACTGCGGACAAATTAGATCATTCATGCTTTAAGTAGCAGAGTGACGGCATAATGACGTCTATTTTTGGTCATTTATGGTCTTAAGACGTCCTGCGACTGATGATGAACGTTTTTGTAAGACGTCACTTTATAGAGTCAGTTAAAGACGTTGCGTTAAAAGAGTCTTATGTCTTTTTGTAAATTATAATATTTTTACTTCTTTACATATGTATAGGTGTACCAAATACTTTACATGTATGTACACCAAAGAGAAGGACTTAGAAAGCGAATACCGGGTATGCCCTAAGATCATCAAAAATCATCTCGATTTGAATAGTATGGCAAAAAATAAGAGTTAGACTGGCTGTTCAGATATGGTTTATTACGTAACTGCCAACACTTTCCTTTTAATTTGCGCAGGTTCTTTGAAATGCACTACCTTATTGATATTCATAGGAAACTTAAATTTAATATTTTAATATCAATATAATTCCAAATTTTCAGCAAATTCATGACGAAAGGACTGCGATATTATAAGAGATGCTATCAGAAAGAATTTAAAGACCGCGAATAAGTGAATGATACGTTGAATCGAAGGTAATTACAAAATGGGTTAATATTTAACAACACCGATTTTAAGGTAAACTTGTAGACTTTATTTAGTTTTATGTATACACAATAGCTATTGCAAATTCCCTTCAGCTGAATTACTCTGTGTTGTGTCGAGAAAATAATATGCATAAATAGAAGAGAAAATAGCAGCGGATTATATAAAGAATTTCAAATTTATGTTCAATTTAGCACATTAGCATTAATGTTACACGAATAATATACATAGTGCCCTTATAGGTTCTGGAAAATGTTTTACAACAATTAGATGAATGGGAAAAGAAAGTACAACTGTATCTATTCTTCCTGAGTCATCATTTTTGACTCGTTAAACTACTGAAGAATTAAGGGTGACTTTACGGTCAACAATGGATATTTGACCAAAAAGTACCAAATTACCAATATTATACCTGGAAAACTCAATCAGGATCCACTTGAGGTTTGTCACAATCGTGTGTTCAATGATGAAGATAGATGAATTCATGTCGGTAATGAATGCGAATAGATATGTATCCTTTTATCACGTTTCACACAAGTCTCACGATCAAGTGAAATCTATGCGAGATATTAAAAAATGAAATATCTTCGATCAACATATTGTTTTTTCTATTGCAGATGTAACTTTATTAAATACAACCTCGTCTTCAATAATATAGCTTTTCTTTTAAAAAAATCTATATTTATCCAATTACTTCATAACCTGTAATATTATACATATCTGTCGTTTTAAAAATGTACGTAGAAGGTACACACTTAGGAATAGCGGTCATCGATATCAATTTTCAGTAATTATTGAACCTTGGTACTTATTTATTACCTACCAACATTTTTACCTTTTTCTTCCTCGTACATCACAAAATTTTGCGAATAATCGATCGACGTATTTTTAGAAATATTCCGATTATGTCGCTCTCTGTGCAATAAATATTACACAATATGCAATTACAATATTATGAGTTGTATTTGTTACATAACGCATACGTTTGTATCTCTCACTTGTGTTTTTATTTCTATTCGACAAGTTTCCCCGAATATTTGCACGTGCAAATATACGATCCATTTTGCGTGCGAATCAACTATTGCGTATCGCATGCTTCGTAAATAACAAATATAGTGATTGAACACAACTGATAAAATTGATTCAATTTATTGAATTACAATATTTATTTTGTTTATAATACACTATTTATATAATAATATAGCATAAGAAGCAATAACGAATATCCGTCCTATAAATTACATACACCATAATAATAATAATTATTGTTGTTGTTGTTGTTATTAGTATCCCATTTTGTTTAGTATATAAACTTTCAGTCATCAAGAAAATATTCGAACATAATTTATTTTATTATTGGTTCTCTAACTATTACTATTATGATTCTACTTCGGTATCCTTTAAATCTGTATTGCCAAAAATACGTGTCGTCGATATTATAATTTTCTTTGTCCATCCGAGCGATGCATTCCCTCTCACTAATTCTTATTCAGGTTGTAGATTTGTACTGATATCCATTAGAATTTACTATAGAGAGAAAGAGTGACAAAGAAGCGGAGAAAGAGACATTTAATTAGTAAGAAAATGATCTTGCTACAGTTTCCTCGTAATACCATTAATATTCGATATTCACGGTGAATGAATTTTGTCCCTTAAATACCGTGCAAAACTCTTATAGGAAAACAGTTGTACGTTAAAAGAAAATCGTTTATTTTGTAAAATTAAAGAGTTTCGATTTCACAGACATGTCGATTTCTTTTAATCCACCTCTATTCTTCCTTTCCTCTTTCGAGGTTTAATTGGTTCAATAACAATAAACAGATTTGGAATGCGAATTTAGAGCGCTACGTTTTATGATTCCACTCAGAGAAATTTCTTTCTTGACATCAACCGTTACATAGTTATCACCTTAACGTTAAAGTTTCGCTATGATTCGAATTTACCTTTTCCGTCACTGTCGCGATATAATTCCTTGTAGTCATGAGATTTTATAGAATTTATCTCCGTGACAAAAATATTATCTTTTATATTGAACATATTGTATTCGATAGTGGCGATATTATATTACTCTGCGCGGGAAATTTTTAAAAAACGTACAAAAACCACGTTACAGAAAATCAGTACGTTATATATTAATCGACAGTCAAGAATATTCTATTTAAGTGCGCCATACATATATAGAAGCGATCACGATCAGAATAATAATCACCATAGAGTTTTTCAATTTTGTCATCTATTATTATAATCATTAGTATTTTTAACCTTATCGCATCTCACAATAGTTACAAGTAGATATCTGTGTTGTTCTCTTTCACAGGACGATCGCGGATGTCAACTACGAGCACCTCATAAATAACTGCGTCGAGATCTTGATTTTATCGGATTTTTCATCGTCAAATTCTTATTGACTAAAATAGACACCTAAGTGAAAATGTTTTTTGCGAAAAGCTCGTATATATATTATTATATAGTTTTGAAAGAAATCCCAATATATTTAATTATATGTATGTGTGTATGTGTGTGTGTACGCAGAATGTCTGGAATATTTCGTACAAGCACTCGTGTGAAAGTAGAACGTTAAGCTGAACAGAAAGTCCTTTGTCATTTTGCAAATAACACGTAAATTCTCATTTATTAATTAAAGAAACCTCTACATATGGCCATTTTCAATAAATAATCATTCGAAATTTTACATGGTTGTTGGCAAAATGGTGGAGAACTTTTCTGCTCAATTTAATCCGTTCTACTTTCACACGAGCACTTGTACGAAACGTAGCAGGCATCCTGTATATATATTTAGGGTGTGTTCAAAGTAACGGTTCATATTATTTTTGAAACACTCCCGACAGTTAAAAAAAAGATTGAAGAGTGAACATGAATCTGTTTCATACAAGCTACAACCTTCAGTGAAAAAAAATTTGAAAAAAAATTTGTTCTCAAAAAAATCAAGTTCACCTTTGATTTTTTTAAATGTCACCACAGAATTTTTTTTTCGTAATATTGGACATTTTCAAAAGAAAGCAATTTTTTCTTCATATAGAACTCGTTTTCTACCTACTGTTTCCTATGTGATTATTAGCTCATATTGATTAATTCCTCATTAATTATTGCAAATTTTGCAAAATGATACGCTGGACATTTTTATCCTGTTTCACCCGTTCTACCTACACACTTCGGATTCTGAGAATGGCAAACACTCTGTATAAGGATACGTGCTACGTAACTTATTCGTCATGAAAGCTATCTACTTTCAAGACGTAGATGTATTATGTACGGGACATAAAAATAATTGCTAAAAAATTTTCAACTCTATTCAAATAATAGAGAATCTTCATCTTGATAATGCACGCCTTAAAGCGGATAAAGTTAGGATAAAGTTATAAAAAGTAATGAACAATCTTTTGTACCAACATAATTTCGCGTCAGAATTTCGGAGAACTATTATATACTTATATACGATCAATTACATAATAGTCTCTTGATGTCATTCTACTATATTAATGGTTTACTTTGCGACCTTTTTGAGAATGATATGATAGCCTCCTTTGTTTCGAGTCATTCTCGAGTGTTGACACAACTTTTATCTTTGCCTTGTGCGAATATCCTCTCTCTGTGAGTCAAAGATAATGGAAAAAAAAAATGACACGTGGCGCGTACGAATATCATCCTGTGAAAGCAACGAGACCGTGCATTACACGAACGAATCTTCACACATTTCCTCTTTTTCGCGGCTCCCGGAAAGTTACGATTAATCGGTCGTAATGAATCGAAATGGTGTCCCTCCCTACAAACGTTATACGGATAGTCTACGCAAACGAGACGTAATATAAACGTTAAGCGATTCGTTCACGCAAGTCTGTGAGATGTTTAGTACCTTAAACGCTTAACATGTAAGTACATTGCTTGTTAACACCAGAAGCTACATACGAATATATCTGATCTCATTTCTGTACCAAGTATGCATCTGTAATTGTTCCGTGGAACTGTGTGTGTATGTGTGTGTGTGTGTGTGTGTGTGTGTGTGTGAGAGAGAGAGAGAGAGAAGGGAGAGGGGATATTTATGCTAACTTACGTATAATAATAACATTCCTAAACGTGTTTGCGTTAATTTGCTTTCACGCTGCTGCCAATTGTCGCATTGCGCTTTAGGTTACGTCTAAACGTTAAATTATACCGGAAGACGGTGTTTATACCATTAATATATTGCAAAAGTCCTAAAATATTTCAAGAGGGCCGTACACGTTTCTATACAATTCCGCACTCGTCGGGGGCTGCACAAAGCTCATCTCTTACAAACGTTTTGTTTCATGTAAATTTATTCCCGATTGAGAAATGCAGCAGGCTTCTTCCTCAGACAGACCGTTCGAAAGTGTGGAATTATTTATAGAAATCCGAGCAGGATCACATTCATTCCTTTCGCAAAACGCAAAACTTTATTACTTTCACAAATCTGTTGAAAATGGCACGCTTTGCACGTTGAGAGAATGGCAATGCTTGCACGATAATTTTTTCCAAATCGTATGACATTTCTCTCGAATATTGTGAAGTTTTTTTGTCGCATGTTAAATAATACGCGAGGCAATACACCTGCTATAAAGCCAGCCAATTGTGTTTGTTTGCAGATTGAGATCAAACATTTGGGAATTTGTGACTCGATGATTTGCTTCTAGTGTTTCTTTTGCAGACAATATCCGTGATTAAGCATGAGATACAGATGACTGCAGCGTGATTTTCTCGTAATTATTACTAAATACCGCCTCATATATATACTTCATATCAACATTTTAGAAATATGGGAAAGATATACGGAGTATCTTGGAGTCAGGACAAACTTCGTGAGGATGTAGAACGAATTGAGGTGAGCAAAAAAGTCCTGTATCATTTTGAAAACAACAGGTAAAATTTCGAGTTATTGAATGACTGAAAATAGCCAATTAAGTAAGTTATAAAAGTTCTTCCTTAATTAATAACTCGAAATTTTACGTGTTGCTTGTAAAAGTAGTAGAAGACCTTTTCGTCCACCTCAATTCATTCTACGCATTGACGAAGTTCGTCCCCGTGACTTTGAGACACCCTGTATTGATGCAAATTCTTATTGACGAGCCAATAAGAACTTACCGACAAATCAATTAACATATATATGAAATATGTGTATGTATATGTGTGTACATAAATACATTTTTTTTTTAATTATCTGCAGTTCGGTTTTAATGTATGTGTATTCGAGAATGTCGTAGAATTAGGAAATTTCGCATCATTGTGTTTTCACTATGCATCCAATGGGATTAGTAGCTGTTAAATTATTTCAAACGAAATATGTACGATCTGAAACGAGTGAGTGGCATAGCGTATAACAATAAGATGTAAGTGCGTGTAATCGTAGCTGTACAGCCATGTCACTAAATATTTTTCACAAAGATGTTCGAACTCGGATCACAAAAGATCACATAAATTTGCATCGATCGACGTCGGTCATTGCGCACAGTCTCATGAAGCCAATGGGATAGTTGAGTGTGACAACTGTAATATCATAATTATAATATTCCATAATTAACTAAGTGACCATTTGAGTGAAATTATTACAAAATGTGGACTATGATCTAGGAAATTTTAAGTAACGGAATAGTAATGTAAATTACTTGAAAAAGAGAGAGAAAGAGAGTGAGATCATAATATAATAATTATATAATTGATGCGAGTCACGGAGCAAATCCTATTCTTGACTGACAAAACGTGTCCATCACAGAATAAAGTTTAAAGGGAAAAATAACAAAAAAAAAATTGTTGAAATTTCTGCAAACATTGAGCAAGTGTCTTTGCAAACAAAAACACATATATGTATCTCGCCACGAACGAATGACGAAGTTTTTCATAATCACTTAAATCACAACAAGATCTCAGCCATGCCATTATCAAAATAACAAATGCAGCAATCGTTATTTATATCAAAAAATTACGAATGATTGAAGACAATATACAGGGTTTATAGCAAGTATCTTTAGTTATAAATTGTGATATATAAATGTTCAGCAAAATTTTTTTTTAGATATTACATGTTATAATTTTACGCGATTCATTATCATACAATATCCTAGTGATTATGTGTATGCTTTTCTTATGTCTGTGATGTGCTGATAATTCTTCCTCGATATTATGAAATCCCCTCCGTGGTTCTCTTCTCTTGCTTCGCGCGAGAATCATGAAAATAAAGAAAATAACGGGCAATTTCTACGATCTTCACACACTCTGGTGCACGAAACGAACACAATCGAAACGTGACTCCTGGATCTGAGTAAAAATTGCAACGTGGAAGAAGAATTATTCGCACAGGACAGAAGATGTAACGTTTTGTATTCGTTATTACATATTGTAACTTGTCAAAAATATAGTGTTCAATTTAATCTGCCCTATTGTTGGTTTTCTTTGTGCAACGAAAAAAACAAAGACGTTGAAAGCTGAAAGAAATCGTACGTTCGTGAACGTTACGGCATTACTAACAACAAGATTTTACAATTAAATTGGAAAGCATTATTGCTCGAAACATCAGTAGTAGTAGCGTAGAGTTTGAATAATCTCATTCTAGAGACACATTTATATTCGACACAACACACTTATTTAGTTCCCATGTAGTAAAAACTAACGTGCTATTGTTTATCAAGAAATCGACTCAATATTCGACTTTTATATACAATAGATAATAATTAATTCGTTATATTAACGTCCGTATATCTTTAACGTTCTCGAAAATATAGCAGACAATCGATGAAACCAACAACCGGGTAGTAGTAGTATATAAATATTCAACTGTGTTTTTTCTCCTTTGTTACACAATATAAGCTAATTATTCACTTTGTTACTCTCCTATTACCCTATTTTGTATCTAAATTTGTTGCTTTCACAATAATTTATATTCTTAATTAATATATATTTTAATTGCGTTATTGTTAGAAGTAAAATAGTATGTATGTATATATATATATATATATATATATATATATATANTCGTAATCCTATTATTCAGGAATATCATTTTCTAAACTTCCGTCCTCTAAATATATCGCGATCGTAACTTTCTTCCGATCATTTAAAGATGTGGATGTAAATGTTTCTCGTGTTTTTCCGTAATAATGGTATAAAGAACTAAGCATTTGTTTATGTCTCGGATATGATCCCATTATTTGTAACATTACGTTCTCTTAAATATAAATACGAGGAAGAAATTTCGATCGCGGAATATCATCGAAATTCGCATTCTTTATAAGTACCTTCTTTAAAGATTTTTCACTTCATCATTTATTGTACATTTGTATACCAATCGAAAATTTATCACGTGTCACTTTTATAGCTTGATAAATCGAGAAGTGTACATATAAGCCAGGATACAGATCGGCTTGGCGTTCTAATTTTCTTTTCCTTTCTTCCTTTTTTAGATAGAAGGCAAATCTAATGCTTATATCACACATAGTAAATAGTGTCAAAATGTGTTATTATGCATTGACGCATGAAAAAATTTTGCGATTTATGAGATATTTAGCATAATAAATATCCTGTATGTATGTACCGATAACATTTTCTCGTACTTATAAAGAATGCTTTGCATAAACGCAAGAAAATGCATCATTATAATATTTAAATCTTTTATATTCTAAATAGTACTTTAAAAATGGTGTTATGGTACATGCGGCCTCTATAAAAAATTAAAACACTGATCCATGCATATAAGATCTCACGTTAACGTTTTATGCTATCGGGAAAGAAGAAGATAAGTAAGCAACAAAAGGATTAATAAAAGAAAATTGTGAACGTTACTAAGGCTCCCTCGCTGCAGTCTTTATTTGATGACGTCAGAAGCGAGAAAAACGCGTGCCAATTCCTGCGTCACACGTTCAAATAAAAAAGATATACCCACAAAACGACACCTGTGATCGATTCGGCGCACTTGTGAAATTGTCCGAACTTCTCTTTTATTTGAACAATCAATAAGTAATCGCAAAATTCACTTAACATGGAAATTTCCTTTTTTTATATCTTTTTTCATGATTTTGTCGGTGTTAATTTTACGATTGTCTGTTAATTGTTTCAGTAAAAATATTTCGAACAATTTTATAAATGTGTCGAATCAATCACAAGTGTTATTTTGTAAATATATCTTTTTATCTGAACGTATAATGCAAGAATCCTCGTTTTCTTGCTTCTGACATCGCCAAACAAAGTTACAGCGAAGGACTAGAAGCCTTAAAAATATAAATAATCGTCAAAATGACTTTTCTGTCTTTGTTCGTTTCTTACACTTCGATTGTAATTAACGATATAAAACATATCAGAGAAAATCACATTTTAATAATTATTATTCTATTACTTTATAGTCTCTTAAAAAGAGTATCTTTAGACCATATATACCATAATAGAGAAATTGTGTTATTTTTTTTGGAATAACATCTATTATATTTTAATAATCTGTAATAAAAAATTGATGCAATAAAAAACATTCGTTTCTCTTTTGGCCTCACTTTTTGACACTAAACTATGAAAGTAATTAAAGAGAAAGAAAAAGGAGAAAAACGACAAACCAAAAACAATAACAACTAGCGCTGTTGTGTACATTAAAAAATTCCGTAGTTAAGTAATGTTCGCTACAATACCCCATTTTTATTAAAGAAAATTTATATATTAAAATAGATAAAAGAAGCTCTCGATTGATTACCCGAGACTTAATTCTGTAAATTAGTAGACGGCTCTTTTTATATATA